ATTGAACAAGGCTTACAGTTTCTGGAGGCTACATTTTGTTAAGGAAATGCTAAATATCCGAAAAGCACCAGATCCCATCTGATCATGGAAGCTAAGCAGAGTCAGCCCTGGTTAGTACTTAGATGGGAGACCACCACCGAGTACCAGGTGATGTAAGCTATATTTTAGAGAAAGGAAGGGTTAAAGCATCTCTATATTATTTGCATGAGAAAACCCTATAAAATTAATCATAAGTCGACAGGTACCTCAAAGACGCACGTACACATAAACATACATACACAAAGAATTTTCACATATTTTCTTGTTCACAAGTGTCTTGCTACTCTGAAAAAACTATCAAATGCTACAATATTTTTGCTTATTGAGCTTGAGAGAAACAAAAGGGTTTGCTGTATCAGCAGTAACAGAAAAAAGTTTTTATGCAAAATACTGTAATTTTTGCATAAATGTTATATTTATTGTGAAATGAGGGGTTTCTTCATAAAAATATACGTTGCATACTTTATGTTAAAAACACTTGGGGTTTACACAGAAAAGTTTTGAAATGTGCAAAATAATTGGAAAATGTGCAAAAATGCTCATACTCTTGCCCTGTGTTTTTTGTTCTCACCCGTTCATTAGCCACACTAATGTTCTCTCGGACATCACACCACCCTTTCTGAACGTTAAGCATTCTAGCTGACCTGCTCCTAACTTGTAGCCTCCTATCATGCAGAGATAGGAGCCTTTTAAACTACTTCTTTCAGCTTCCTTTTAAACCTTTCCTTCACTTTAGAAAAGATTCTTCTTTTGAAAGAAGTACCACACTGGAGTTACTTGATGCTTTTCCACCTACATTTAGGGCCTTTACAGACTGCCAGAAATAGTGCAAATTGAGTCCACTTTAAGGGTTATGGTTAGTGCTAGGGAATCATGGGAACTGTATTTTTTTCTGGGACATTGCGCCTTCTCTGCCAGACAGCTCTGGTGCCACAATAAACTATAGTTCCCATGATTCCTTAGCACTGAGCCAGGACAGTTAAAGTGGCCTCAATTTGCACTATTTCTGGCAGTCTGTAAAGGCCCATAATTTGCCTTTTGACAGCATTGTGGTCTCTATTTCCAATCTATCTAACCACATTCATGTCTTGCATTGTCTTGGGCAGAAACACTTAGTCCTCACAAGGCAGAGGAAGCCAACTGCTTGGCTATTCTTTTTAGGTTCAGCACCAGCACTCTGGTCCCATCCTGATTCACGATCACTCTGGGCCTTTGCAGACTGCCAGAAATAGTGCACATTAAATTGAGGCACTGCCCTGGCTCAGTGCTAGGGAATCATGGGAACTGTAATTTATTGTGGCACCAGAGCTCTCTGACAGAGAAGGCTCAATGTCTCAGAAAAAAATACAATTCCCATGATTCCCTAGCACTGAGCCAGGGCAGTGCCTCAATTTAATGTGCACTATTTCTGGCAGTCTGCAAAGGCCCTCTGTCCCTTTTGTACAGGCCTGACTTTTCCCATAATATTTCCCTGTGGCTAATAAATCTAAAGCCTTCCTACATACATCCTTTTCTCATCTAGGCATCGGGTCTCCTCAGCTTTACCTCCCTAAGTAGCCCTGCGTGTGGAACGCAGGTACATTTGAGAGAAAGCTATCATGGAGATCTGGGTTTTCAGCGTAACAGCCTAAACAATGACTTTAACAAAGTAAATTTGGCTTCAAGGGCCTCAAGGACACAAGTTCTTCATGTCACAGAGCCCAATGTAAATAACAGCAACTGTCTCCACTCCAGTAGTATCCAGCAGGCATGTCTATATGATGCAGCCTTCACATGAGGCAGGCAGTCTACCATACGGTCTACACATCTGTCACAAATCCAACCATCTAGGTCTCTAGTGACTAACTCACCCATTACCACAAGCCTCTGCTCACCAGAGTTGCCTTCAAGACACAAGAGGATAACTGTACACCTACCAAGGAATTCATCTCTCTTCCCTGGAGAAAGATCTTTCTGTCTCATTGTTTGTGACTTCAGGAGCGGTCAGTATTATACAGTTTATGACACAACATGACTTTAAGACTATGGCATATGAATATGGATGTTGATGTTTTTGTCAGCTCATTGTGTGGAAATACAAGTGTACTGGAACAAAATAAGAACATCTGCTGGAATGTTAAGTGTCTTTCTAATTAAATTCAGCAGTTGAATGAATCAATTCATTAGCAACAAGCCTGGTTTATTATCTCATTAATACAGCTGGCTAATATGAAGAGATTAGTTGAAGAACTTGACAACAATCCCCAAATGAGAAAGAATGCAGCAGCAGCAGCAGCAACAACAACAGAATAGTACAGTCAAGAAAACATGTCAGAACAATGAGAGGGATTTCCCCCCGATAAAATAAAAATCCTGACGTGGCACACGTCAAGTCCTACAGTTAACCAAGTTCAGAAAATCAGGATTCAGTAGTTAAAACTCAACAAAGCTTTATTCAGTAACTAGAGGTCCACATCAGAAATGTTCATTGTCAGAACTAAAGAACAAGAATTAATAGTGTCTAAGCACACAGAATTTCAAACTATTAGCAGGCTTGTATTTGATTCCTTGCACACTCAAAACAACTCTGGTCCTCTCTTTTTCCACACCGTTCCCCTCTTTGCCCTTTCTTTTAGTTCTTGCCCAGCCTAATGACCTTGGATGCTTCAGTCCTTTCCCAACTCGTGTCTCTTGTTATCATACCATGTGTACATTCCCTTACATTATGTCACACAGCATATCCCATCACTGTATTTTAGCTTTCTAAATTCATGACTTAGTGGTTTGAGTGCTGGAATAAGATTCTAGAGACCAGGGGCCCGAAACACATGGGCCAAATGACACGGATTCTGGCCACACTGGGGGTGTAATGTTCAGATTGTTGGGGATTTGGGGATGTACACCCCAAACATGGCCTGAAACTGTGTTGACGCTGCACCAACCAGGAAGAACCGGGCCAAAAAGGAGTGGATAGGATCTGCTTCTTCCAGCAGCCTGGTTCAGGACCACGGTGGTGGCCCAGATCGAGGCTGGGTGCATGCAGTTGCTGCGGCCCCAGCATGGCGCAGCCGCACACTGCTCTTTTGGACCCATCTGTTTTGGGTCCAGGGTTCGATTCCAAGCTTGGCCATGAAATCTGCTGGGTTACTTTGGGTAAGTCACACACTCTCAGCCTCAGAGGATGGCAATGACAAACCCCATATGATGGAACTTGCCAAGAAAACCCCATGATAGGTTCTTCTTAAGGTTGCTATAAGTTGGAAACAACTTGAAGGCATACAAGAACAACAAAGGTGCAAAAGTAGCACCTGACAGCACATTTATATCATATCTTTGATACACACCAATGAAACAGAAAATAAATAGAGAAGTTCCATAGCATTTAATTCGTGATGATGTTCCTTAAAGTACTGTGTATTAGATGCAAATGAAGACAATCCAAACCACATTTGAAACGGGGAAAGAGTGGCTACCTTGCTTATCTGGAACATAACTTACCAAGCCCATGGCTCCCACAAAACATCAATTAGAAAAGACCAGTCTTGGTCTATTTTTATACAAAGCTTCTAAACCAGCTCCTGTATACACACACACACACACTCGTCCCTCCACATTCGCTGAGGTTAGAGGCATAGACTCTGTGAATGGGGAAAAACCACAAGTAACAAAAACACTATGTTTTTACCTGAGAGAATACCCCTCTAGGAATCTCTCAGTCCTCCAGTGCGACTTTGCGGTCAACATATGTGAGACATTACCACAGAATTGCACTGGTGGAGCTACAAATGACTAGTGGAGTGTTCTCTCTAGGAATCTCTAGGTCCTTCAGTGCGACTTTTGGTTAAAGTTGACCATAGAGTTGTGCTGGAGGATCTAGATATTCTTAGAGAGAACATATTAATAAAATCCATGAATAATCATATCTGCAAAAGTCAAAGCCACATATATGGAGGGACGAGTGTTTATACAGTGGTCATACAGGATAGATAGTTAGAAATTAATAGGTGGATCTATCTGTCTGGCTTACAAATACAAAGCTTTCTGCAGTGCTGTTAATGCATTTGGGGAAAGTTTGGAATGCCACTGCACTAGAGAATTCCACCTGTCTTCTCAATGGAGTGTGGGTCAAACACAACTTCTACACAGTATTAGCAGTACCTAGACCAGGGGTAGGCAACTTAAGGCCTGGGGGCCGGATGCGCCCCCC